CATTTAAGTGCACTATATTTATAAGCGTGTGTCCAATACAAATGTGCCGTCTTGCTTGTTTTTAAGCAGTGGTTTATGAGAATATATTTTCCCCACATTGGCAACTCATTTCAAGATGGAAAAAGTTGTGCCAAATTGGCTGTAAAATGTACTGTATAAAATAAAATGTGACTTAATGGTTAAAAGTATAATACGCAGCCCAGTTTGAACCAGTGACGTGTACAATACCATGTGCAAGCTAGACATGAAATTGGTGACAAAATTATATTTTCTATGGTACCCAAAACGGGAGTGAAATACGCACATGAGAGAATTTTCGCTAAATACGACTGTCTTCGCAAAAGTTAGCGGAGACAAACTGCACTTTGTTAATCAGACTGTCGTGAAATTAAATGGTGATATGTAGTTGTGGATTAAGAAGAATTCTATTCACTTATGAACTGTATCCAAATACATATCCTAGATAAACGAGGTCAACTTGATTAGTATATGTCTTACCAAGAGTATTTGAATCAAATACATATATTTATATATTTTGGATATATGTTTGATGTAATTTAGGTACATTATTGATGCTTTCCGAGTAGCTATTTTATGTCTGAATGTTAAACATTAATATATTAAATGTGTTTTGAACGAATTGGTTTGTGGCCTTATTTGTTATAAATAATTACTTAGTATAAGCAGTGATGCTAAGAAAACCCGTGCGCGCGCAAGGGCGCTTGTGTGCCTGAAATTGAAAAAAAAACGGTTTTTAAAAATCGAGACAGTATTTCTAAGAAATATTCTTTATTATTGTTTTAAATAAATAAATATCTTCAATTACACTGACGATACAACAACAGAACTTCTTCATTCGAGTGATGTGTGAAACATTTGCTATCACGAACACATTCCATTGTTGATCTCGGCACCATCCATGTAGTGCCATAAAGCTAAACAATATTTACCATAAGATACAAAATACTTGACTATAATTTTCCAAAAAATAGTTAACACTAACAAATTGACTGTTTTTTGTTTGAGTTAATTAGTATTTTTGATGTGTAGCACACAAATATCGAACCGCTTTAGACGGTTATAGAGTGCATTGGATAGGCAACCCATCATTGAAATTTTTGACGTTTTCAGAAAAAGTACAAGCAGACAACATGTATAACAGAGCAATATAGTGATGTAAAACTTCCCTGCTTATATATCTTTTATACATATAACAGAAGTCTGTACAGTTGAATTTTTTTTGGCTGCATTTAGAATTCCACAGGTGTAGCTCGGACTGAGTCTCTGGGATCACGGGGTGACGGTAAGTTCTGCGTCCTCTTTCACTGATGATGAAGGGGACATAGGCAAGTCGTCTTCCTCTTCTGAGCACCGTGCGGATGACAAGGAAGAACACTTACAACTATGCGATCCGGTTCGGTGCGAGCTGGTTTTGCCTTCTTTCTTGTGCTTGACTCTACGATTCTGGAACCAGATTTTCACCTGTTTCTCGGATAGGTTAAGATATGTTGCAATCTCTATGCGCCTTAGTCTGGAAAGATACATGTTTGAGGTGAACTCTCTCTCCAGCTCCAGAAGTTGCGTGCTGGTGAACGCTGTGCGCATGCGTTTGCTGCTTTGGAGTTGGTTACTGTTGCTCTCTGCAAAAAGTAAATAGAAAATATGCAAACAATTAAAAGATGACAGCGGCATATGTTCATTTCAAGAGACAAACTACTCACATTTAAAAATATATAGACCTGTATGTTTCTGAGCAACATGTGCGTTATAACACGTAGTCTAACAAATCAAAACTATCCAATACTGTAACACAATAATTCCGTGGAAAGTCACTCACCGATAGAGATGCAATGGAACTGGCGAGGATCTGGCACGGAGTATGCCGTTTGGTATATCCCTGGGCCATGGTTGAGGTTGACACCGGTAGAGGAGGTGTGTTGCCTGGCCAGCGCAGAATGACAATACTGCGAACCGAAGCTTGGGAACGAAGCCTTGAGGAGCGGAATGGCCGGAGGAGACGGATGTAGTTGCGAGGCTGTGACGCAAAGAGGACAGAAGCACAGCAAGCCAGACTTTCGAGAGTGGCACGAACCTGTGGACAGCCCGTGGAGAGGGTGCGAGGGGTGCACGGCGTAAGGAAATAAAGGTGGGTTATTTTCATTCCCTTTATCATTGGCTTCCCTCAAAATTAACGAATCCACAAGGAAGGATCTTGGCATCTTCACGAATTGTTTCCTTAAACTTCGCAAAGTTTTCTGTCGCGCGTGATCACTGTGACCTGTCGTCGGCGTGGCTGGACAGCGGAGTGGTGCTGAAAGGGGGATGTTGCAGTTTAAATACTGTGGACCCGGTTCGTCCATGTGACGGTTACGCGGCGAGCGCTCGAGACCCTTCAATAGGGTTTTTGTGGCCTTTCTCGCGGTATTCACACTGCACGCTTCCCTATTATTTCACTTGTTAACTAAATGAACTGCATAATGTAGTCTATTCTTGTCAACCCCACCCACGCCGAAAGATGCGGTATCTCCCCCTTCCATTTAAGCGTTGATTTCTTGTATATCATTACCAGTATTACTTTAAAATATGTTTTCGACATCATTGCTCTCCGGGGATTTTATTGATCGTTCAGGTAATGAACTGTGTTTAATTAGCAAATGGTATTTGTTTCCCGCAAGTCATTTAAGCTTTTAATTACTCAAGCCGTTTTCCTCTTTCGATATATATTAAGTGTTACTACAGTAGAAATAAAAGAAAAAGCAGTTGTATTCCCATTAGTTTTATTTTTAATTAAAATGATTTTATTTTAAACAAACTTTGCGTTTTTAAAATAACTAGTGCTCGGTTTATATTCTACAATGCCTGTTTTCTGTATGAAATAATATGAAATAGAATGTATATTTGCACAGCTAGTGGACCTGTTTTATCTAGTTATACAGTCTCTGGAATTTAGAGTTAGAAGCGTTAACGTTCGTCTAATGGGAGTGACGTATTTACCCAGGATTTTTTTCTCATTATATATATATATATATATATATATA